TCCCCCCCCCCCCTTCCCCCCCCCCCCCCCAGTCTTCCTGTGAAGAAAAGTTTGTTAAAGGCAACCTGAGCTCCAGTTTGCTAGGTCTGATGCCATACCCCTTTTGTATCTTTTGAAAACCGTTAGCGTATTTTAAATTCCTGTGTGTTTATTTCCTGAGATTGCAGTAAAGTGGGAGTAGGTAATACATTTTAGAAAGAGGTCTCCCTGCTATGTTTACTTGCACAGATTGGGAGAAGAGGAGAAAACGGCTGTAGCTTTCTTGGCCTGTTTCAGACATTGTTTGGAAAATCCCCAGTGAGTTGTTGTCAACTTGTTGATGGAAGCAAAGCAAAATGCAGCTCATCCACCAAGGCACCATCCTCCCGCCAGAAATACCTGGGTATTGTTGTTGTACTAAGGTGGTTCAGGAATGGAGGGTGGATTTAAGCCAGAAATAATAGGCAGAGAAAATTCAGCAGTTGGGTTCTGGCCTGACTGCTGACTTGCAGCTTCCTTGGGCTCTGTGATGAACATGAGGGTATGGCTTTGTGAATGGTGAGCTAGGGAGCCCCAAGCCCCTTTTAAATGCCCCGCACCAGTCTCCAGGATCAGTTTGGTCAACACTTGGGATGAGGATTAACTGGAGTACAGAGGTTCTTCTTTGCTGGAGATGAGCTCAAAGTGAAACCTGCAGCCAGTCTTGGGAAAGTTCCCATCCTGCCCTGAAATCAGCAGTTCATGCCCACTTTTAACTTGGCTTGTTTCTGCTAGTCAGGTCATGGTGGAACAGTGTGTGCTTGTCTTAGAGGTTTGAAATTTATAGCTGTTCCCAGTTGGATGTAGATCTGTGGAGGTAAGTGGGGACTGTGCCTCCTACAGTGCATCTCTGCCTCCACGAGTTCCTGGCTGATGGGACAAAACTCCCTGAGGCTGAGACTGTCTGTCTGCACAGGGCCTGACACAAGAAGGCCCTGATCTCTGATTTGGGCTTGTGTCAGTAACAGAAACAATGAAAGCATGTTCCTCCTTTCCTCCTAGCCAATATACATCCTGCTCATGGAACTACTGGATACGGCCTCCAGAGCTGGAGGGGTTTGTTAGTGCCCACACCCATACCTGCACCAGAACCTGAATGCTTGCAGCTCTGCCCACACCCTTGCTGCTTCTCCCCACCCTCCCAACTCAAGTCCAATATGGGCTGGGTGGTTTCAGTGGTGGGTGGGGGCTTTGCCTGTGCCCATGCCAGGTCCAGTGCTGCTTCTCCCAGCCCCTTGCTCCCCAGCTACAGGATGTATGCACCTTGAGGCTGGTGGGGAGCTGTGCCAGGGCCAAACATCTGCACACTAGGTCTGTGCTATTGCCACTTCTGCCCCTCCTACCAGCTGCAGTGTAGGCACAGCTTCCAGCCAGAGGGGGGTTGTGCTGGGGCCAAGCAGCTTCCAGCTGTGCCCATGCTGCAGATGAGATGGGAGGCTGGGAGAAGTGGTAGCAGCATGGACAAAATTTGCAGGTAGCTGGTCCTGGCACAGCTCTCCATTGAATGGAAACAGCAGGGAGCAAGGGGGCTGGCAGAAGTAGCAGCATTAGGGCCCCCCAACTTTTGATGTGCTGCTGAGGCTGCATTGGGCTGGCCAGGTTGTTCTGGCCTATTGTCAGCCCTGTGCCCTCCCCCTCCTATCAAAGCAATCATTAATCAGGGTATGAAAAGTTCTTGACTGACTTCCTCTGTATAACAACACTTTGGCCCTTCTTGGCTCAGAAAAAGCACTGGAATCTTGGGAGAAAAAGCTGTTTTGGGGGGTCACTCCCTTAGTCCAGCTAAAGCAGAAAGTGATGGACTGGTGTATGCATGTCTTGTCTGGCTGTCTTTTTTACCCACACATATATTGGATTTGTATAGTCAACTCCTGGGGCTAAATCCAACCAATCTGTCATTCACCTGTTGCTTGAAAATCCACATCATGGTATGTTCATTAAAACCCACCTGCATCTAGTTACACCTGCCGCCTTATCGCCCTTTGGGCAATAGCTGTGAATATTTGAGATGCCGTCTTTTGTAATCTACAGGCAGTGTACATGGCATTGATGCATATGGAGGGATTTAAAGGAATTACTCAGAAATCTGAATGCATCGATCTTCTGGGCATCTTCTAAGCATTGATTTCTCTTTTCAGTGAGGTGCTATTTCTGGTGTTTGCTTTGGTAGTGAGAAGGCAGCATACCATGGCATAGCACTGCAGCCCGCCAAACAGCTTCTTTGTTAGGATTCCAGCTTGAAGGCAACAGTTCAAGGTGTCCTCACACTGGATTCCTTTCATACTTCTGGTAGGAAGCTGATTCATGTCGTACAAATGTTATTGTTTGTGCAGCTTGTGTAATCCCTGCTGGCTCATAGCTGATGTGCCGCCTACCCTACTTTACCCAGCCGGAACGAGGGGGAAGTGGCTTTATTTTTAGCCTCAGTCCTGGGAGGAACATCAAGTCAAGCCCTTTTAAATGTACTATAAGTAAATGCAACACAGCACCCGCCCTTCATTTTTGGGGCTTTAGTTGCAGTAATGTCTAGGGAGCGTGGTCATAGATGAGGACCCCTGTTGTTCTAGGTGTTATATGGATCACAGAGCAAAACGGCAGTCCCTGTGCAGAGGAGCTTTTATCTGAAGTACAGGGCCATGGTGAGGGTCAGGGGTTACTACTGAGAGATGAGGAGTACAAGGAAACACTTAAGTGAAGCCCGCCTATGACTGGCCAGTGTAGACAGGGCCAAATTGGGGTGAAACCAGAGCCAGCTGAAGCCCTTGCAGCAAGCAGCATAATCAGATTTAGGAATCTGCCTGTAAACAACCTGCTTGCTGGCACTGATGGGTTTGCCAGTGGTTCACTTCATTGGGACTGACATGGGCCCAGCCCAGAGACTATTTCACAAGCTGTCAAATATTTTCTTTTGGTGGTAGTTGTTCAAGCTATGTGATTGGTTTCCCAAATCACATGACTTTGGCTACCGCCTTCTGATTGGATGACTTTTCATAGGCTCACATACTCCCTTTATCATGGTATGTGAGCAAAGCCTCCCTTATCTTAATGTTGGTAAACAGTGACTGGGTTTTATGAGCCCCAGCCTCTCAGGTTGGGTGACTTTCAACAGATGTAGTCATTGTTGAGTATTAACCTGTTCAGTACAGATTTTGTAAGTCACTCCAACTTGTCACACTGCCTGGACACACACAGGTGCCATACACTGTTCCTTCCTGTAGCTTCTGGGTGCTTATTAAATAGGGCCCAGGAGTATAAGTACAGCCCTATAATGGCTAAAATCTGCACTGCAGATGGAGCTTTCCAGGGATTTGCGATAGGAGGCAGGGTATGACCCTATTAGCCATGGCTGCTGCTGCTGCATGGGAGCAAAGGATTACAGGGTCATTGTAGATTGTATGTTTCATCTCCATCCCCAGGTCAGGGTGGTGGGGGAACCTGTGAAACTAACTAGATTTATATCTAGTAGGATTTAAAACCTGAGCTGGAGTATTATCTGCTGCTACAGTGGCAAGGAATAGAGGGGAGCAAGAAGTCACTCACTGCTCTTTCTCTGTGAGCAGGATACTCCTCCAGCCTGGGATTATTAACCTGTGAGTGTTCAGCAAAAAGTTAAAAGCTAATGAAATCTGCCTGATGTTGGGACTGTTCCTGGGACTCATCTGATGTTCACCTGGGCTTGTGCCAAGGAAAAAGGCTGCCCAGCCCCAATCCTGGACTCAGGACAGCTCCTTTTGGGGACAGATCTCTTCCTGTTTTAATAGAAACCTGGGAGCAGGGATTGTTGCAAAGCAATGACCCAAGAAGTGACACACGGGAGTTGAGTGGCTCTAGGCTTTAGGTGTAATAAAGTCTGGAAGGCTATTGGCTGCTGGGGGCAGATTGCACAGCATGCCTGGTATTGAAAGCGCCTCTTTCGTGCTCTCTGTCTCTCGGCTGCATCAAGTTCTAGCTGGTCTTGGAACCTTTAGCCAAGGTCCCCTAAGATGAGCCCTGTTTTTTTTGTCATTGATAAATAACTCATTGTTGCTTTGGTGAATGGGCGCCCTCACAGGGATTCTGGCCTATGATCTGCTCTTTTAGATTGGTGCGGCACTTTCCAGGACCCAGGTCAGTGCTTATGGCAACAAAAGTTATACAGCACACTTGAAACTCAAACTCTCATTTCTTTATCTGCTCAGGGAAGCTGCTTTGCAATGGTCCAGAGGTCCTGATTCCTCAGCAGTGTTGGTGATGGAGCTGAAGGTCTGGGTGGATGGCATCCAGAGAGTGGTGTGTGGTGTCTCTGATCAGACCACATGCCAGGAGGTGGTCATTGCTCTGGCACGTGCAATTGGTGAGTACTGGATCTAAAACCAAGTCACCAGCTACACTGGTTTTCATTACCATCCCATCGGTTTTCATTACCACCTGGACAGCACCTGCCATTTTGAGATGGGGCTTCTCCATATTTTACCATTTTCTGTGTTGTGTTGATTATGATCACCACTAGCTCAGGAGTAGCAGTGGGGACTGAATGAAACCTTCCCGCTCATTTTGTATCTATGGTGTAATATTTTGCCAGATGTTCAACTATGACTCGTTGGATCATGCCCATAGCACCAGGATTTCCCTGAGGGTTTCTTATCCAAGTACAAACCACACTTGTGACTGTTTAGCTTCCTTTATCAAGTGAGACTGGGTGCAGTCAGGCAGGTGTGGCCATAGCCCTCATCCCATACTGAGACATACATTCATGCATTAACTTGCCCAAAGGATCCCAAAGTGAGTGGCTGAGATGTGACCAAACCCCTGCACCCCTGGCTCTGGGGTCCTTGCTTTCATCTGTAGCTGGACTGCTTCCTGGTGATGTAGTTTTAGAGCTTTGTTAGGGTATGGATTCGCAAACAACTGACTGCAGGTAAAAGGGCAGAACTCTATGGCTTGTGAGCTGCTTTGTGGTAACCGACCACACGCACACTCTGACCCTGAGGTAAGTGGAAGCAGAAGCATAGCCAGCTCCTTCTGTACCCTGAGTAAAGTTGCATCTTAGGCTACCTGCACTCTGGCAATGGTGCTACATGGGTCTAGGCTGCTGTGGCTGAAGCATGGACTCCTTGTGCACCAACTGCAGCAGCCCCATAACATGGGTTCCCTAGGGGTAGCCAGTCTGAATCCCCCCTCTAAATCGGCACTTGGAGCTAGACCTCTGCTAGTCCATCCCTAAAGGCACTGGACCCGGATATCTTAATCTTCAATGAAAGAGGGGTAAATTACTGCTGTTCAGTTTACACTTGCTTCAGGGGAAGACTAAGAGCATGAGAAATTATCATGGAACAACTGATGCAGAAGTAAAGCTCCATCCTCCCTTTTATCCCATGGTAAATTGTTTGTATGTTCACGCCCTCAGAGTTTTAATCCAGAAGGCTTGGCCCAGGCTAGTTCTTCACTGATGACAGGTTTGAAAACTTTCAACCTTTAAAAATCAAAGTAGCTCCAAGAGTCCCAACCCCACTCCCCTTCTCCCAAATCAAAACATCCTACAAATCTCTGCAGAAGAATTTTATTTTTCTTTCCAATCTGTGGTGTAATCCCTGGTTGAGGAAAGAGGAGTCCTCCTAGCATTGCAGGTCTCTTTGCCACAGGGGCTGGCACAGCTAAACTCTTGGGCTTTGATGTGTAAACAATGTGATGCAAACAGTCATCAGTAGGGATCACAAGCGTTTCTAATTGCATTGGTGCAGCTGTGGCTTCCACTGAGGAAGAGAACCGCAGGTAGCATGGGAACTGGGTGAAATGATCCCACTTCCTCAGTTTTCATAGGAGGTGTATGGAGGTCTCCCTGTCAGCAGTGGCTGCAAGCGAGGAGATGGTGAGGTTTGGTCCTTAGCTAAATCTCCCCATGAGGGAAATTGCCTTCAGTCCTAAGACAGAAGAGACCTTCTTGAGCCAGCACCTGGCCAAGTGCTGCAAGGACTGTCCTGTGGTGTGTGCACATGGCAGAGAAGGAGAACAAACAGGGTATAAGCAGTGGTCTTTCTCTTTTACTCCCAAATGCTGCACTAGATACAGATATTGCTCCTCCTGCTGGCACAGGGCCATACTGCCTTGGGAACTCCTGCTTCCCTATCCAGATACTTCAGTATGGCTCCAGAAGAGAATTCATTGCTGAAGAGGTTGGTGGGAACAAGAGTTTGGAGAGAGAATTTTGTTGGAGATGTTGGTCATTGACATCAGACAGTGACCCAGACATGCCCCCTAAAAGGTGGTCCTGATTTCTTTTGAATTGGACTCTGATTCAGCAAAGCATTTAAAGACATGACAGGTCATAAACATTTTTAGTGGGACTTTCAGAGTGGGTTTAAGTGAAGTATGTGTTTCAGTGCTTTGCTGAATCAGTCTGTTGAAGCTGAGCACATGGGGAAGAATGGAGAGTGTCCCCCAACCCTGGAAAGTCAGCCTTGGATCCTAGGCACGAGCTGGATTCTCTCCCCTGGCATAGACTCACCCATAATAAAGAGCCTGCAGGATGAAGAGGGATCTGCAACTTTACAGTCAGTTCTGGCTCCGCACAGGTGCGACTGACTGCAGTAAAGAGATCAGATTGGTGTGAGGCCGGAAAGAGGAGGAGCCCCCAGTTTTTTTCCTCTTTCCTGTGCCCACTGTACAAGGCCAACAGGAACAAGTTGGCCTTGCCCAGAGGCGTTTGGATGGGGAAGGGTTTCCGCCTCACTAATGTTAGCCAAGCTGACTCTGCATGTGCCCAGGGACCCGGTCTGTGGCGTGGAATTGGAATCTAGGCACAACCAGCAGGGTTGTACCTGGAGATGGACTTGGACACTGTGAGGAGGCCCCGAGGCACCTGGATCATGAAGCGCTGGCAAGCTTTGTAGTCCTTAATCTCTGTTTTGAAGCGAGATCCTTCTCATCAGACTAATAGGCCTTTATCATCCCTTCCCTTGTGGGATCAGAAAGTGCAGTGCTTACAGATTCTTTCTGTTTTTTCTCTCTAGTAAATTCATTTTTCCAGAAGCCCTGGGAGACTAGCAGGGCTGCTCTTTGCATTTTGTTCTTTTCCTTCAAGAGTTACAAAGTGGTCAGGTCTGGCTGTGGGGTAAACAGAGCTGGGAAGCCAGTAGGTGAGAACTCACTTCTCAGGTCCACTGGTAAAGTTTTAGGAAAGCTCTGCTCTGGATGTTGCCCCCTCTTCACCTCCCTATGGGCAGTAGCTTATGACATATGCTGAGGGAAAAGCATGCTGGGCATTGTCATCCTGGGCAGCTGCAATCTTGAAGTTAATGGAGCTGTATCCTTTTGGCACCAGCAGGGAGTCAGGGCAGCATTTGCTTCTCTCTGGAAGCCTGTGGGCGCATATGCCTGCCAAGTGGAAGGACTTTTCATTGTGAGCAAATGCCCAAGCCTGCCAGCAAGAGTCCTATCTTTAATTTGCTTGTGAAAAGGCCAAGGCTGCATCCTTGCAATAATCCAATTTGACCCTAGCCCTGCCAGCTTAGGTCTGGTCCTCATTTGAGAGCTTTGCCTCTATAGCCATGTTGGCAGCCAGCCTGCTCCCCCACCTCTGCTCTGTCACTCTGGATGCAGCCTTGTGGACAGACAAGGGTTGTGCCAGTTTTTAACATCTGTCACTTCAGGGGTTGATGAGGCAAAGCCAGCAAGTGGAATAATGCCTTCTGCTGCTGTGTGCAGCATCCCCAGTAGGAGGCTCTGCTACCATGGCTTCAGCCCTATAATGAAGGCAAGCCCTGAGGAATCAATGTGTGTGAGCACACTGGGCTTCTGTCCCAGGAAGTCAAAAAGTCAAGCGGTCCTCCTGGGCCTGCAAGCCTGTTGAGCTAGCACAGGTAAGGCACCCACCAGCTTCTGTAGCCAGGAACACATAAGGGATTGATTTGGCCAGCGTCGTGTCCATCTGCTTTTTGACACCTCAGGCTGGAAGATCCACTTACAGGACGGTCAGTTGGCGGTGGCCTCTGGCATGAGTCCAAAGCAGGGCTTGAACTTGCACCTCTGGAGCCATAGCAAGATGCCTTCAATACTACTCTGCCACTGTGCTTTTAGAAAGACACTTAATTTAAATCCCTGTTTGAATGGCAGCTCTGCAGACCCTCTTGTGGAGGCAAATATAAATGCTCTGTGCCTGGAGCAGCTCAGGGAAGTGCTCGGCTGTCTGTACCTTGGCTCTCACATACTTCAGCGCCCCCTCCGTTATGGTCACAACAGCACCGCCTTCACAAGCATCTGCTCGCCTGTTTCCCTGTGGCATTACCTAGCTTTACACCACATCCACCTGCTGATTCACTAGGACTTTCCTGTTGATGGCAGTGTCAGCTTTGGGTTCAGTCCAGGTTCTTTTATTTGAATTACAATGTTTATTCTCCCACAAAGGCTGCAGACTTTGCCAGGGGAGAATGTAGCCAATTTGGCAATGTCTGCCCAAGGTTACAGCAGCCACACTGCTCCGGGTAATGTAAAGGGGATGGGATGGTACCTGCCATCCCACAAGGCTTTGTTTAGACTGGCTGAGAGCGTCTTGGGACTGCATTTAATCTTCCTTTTATTTTCCTTCTGGGTATCATCTAATTAGCCTATTCCCTTTGATTCTTTTTCCTATCAAAAAGGTCAGACAATTCAGGTGCATTTAACTTTACCCTTTCTTTATGGCTTGTTAGGGCAGGGGCATCAGCTTTTATAGGCAGTGACCTTTTTGTCAGCTCTCTCTCTAGCTCTTTTTCCCTGAATCATGCCTGAAGTTACATGTTATACTTGGATCATACTAAGGGCCCTCCACACATTAAAGCTCATTAACTTGTGCTAAGTGCCCTTTGAGAATCTCAAAACTTGTGCCACTTCATGTGAGGGTTAACTGTGGGCCATGCTACCTAGCTCTTGTTAATGTAACTTCTGTCTGCTCCGCAGAGATAAAACAAACAGTTTGTAGTCCTCCGACATCCAAGTATGCACTGC